AAAACCTCAAGTCTCCGCACGGTGTCGGCCTCATCGACGCCGGTGATGTTCATGAAAGTGGCGATTGCTTCCTGATCAGGTGCCGCCATAATTTATTTAAGAGTTTTTCTGTGACTAAAATTGGTATATGCTGCAAATGAAGGTGAAAGAAGAAAATTCTGATATAGTTATACGATCGGTCCAAAAGGAGATGAGGATGAGGTGTCTTTTTTGTCACCGACTGGGGGATATTAACGGAAACCAAGTGAAGAGGACGATCCTTTCTTCTGCCATTCACTCATTCTAAGCGTCCACGCTTTCCCTTTCTTTTTCTTCACCATATTGTTTTAAAATGTAACCTAAAACATGTTAATAATGGCTCTTAATAAAACTAACTAGTGCGTGGCCCGTGCAATAAAACAATATTACAATTGTATTATAAATTAAATATATAAATAATATTGATCATGATTTATTCATTGTTTTTAAATTAAACCGGGTTGGACACAGTCCGATCGGATGGATTGAGAACCAATTTATAACCAGTCTAGTTCGGTTGAATAAAATATTTGCTCTCGAATCCGTCAACACCAGTCGGTTGGACTGGTAGGATCGGTACGATTTTCTAAATAAATTTTGTTGTATTTAAAATTATTTTAATTAAAATTACATATTTAAATAAAATAGAGATTTATAAATTTTTTATCAATTCTTTTAAACATTTAAATTTATAAATTATTTAGATATCTAAGTAATACATTTTATTTAAATTTATTACAAAAAGTACTATATATATATATATATTATAATGTTTATAAATTAAAATCTGAACAAACCACAAATGATCAAATAAAATAGCTTGATCGTTTCGATGACGGTCCAATTCTGAAAACTTTATATTTACTGTACATTAATAAATATTATAATAAAATATTATTTAATTTACATAAATATTAATAAAATGATATATAAATATTCATAAATCATTAAAGATGTTGTCATAAAAATATTGTCAATACTATTATTTAAAGTTTGGACTGCATCACATTCACGTAATAAAATATTTTCAATATAAAATTTATATTTAGGTTCAATAATCGATTTGGTGTGGTCGAACTGGTATATAACTTAGTCACATGTGTCAAGTTTTTTGACTATTTTAAATATCACCTAAAATTAATTCAATCAACCTAGATAGTACCCTAATTCAATCACCCGATTGATTCGAAGAAATTTTCTTATTTTCTTTAAATATATTTAATTTTATGAAATAAAAATATTTTATTATTCATATAATAAATGTTTACATCAAATGATAGTATATTAAGATTATAAATTATATATCTAAAGATGAATTAATTTTTTTTATTTTATGCATGTTAATAAAAAATAAACATAGTAATTTTCAAAAGATTAAGATTAACTGTTAATTATGCAATTTAAAGAATATTTTTATCAGTATAAAAACATTTTTCCTCTCTCTCGCGAAAAATCCCTCACCGACTGCGCTCTTTCTCTCCTTCCCATCGCGCCGCCTTCCTCGCCGGCGGCGAGGTTTCGGCCCGCCGTCGCCCTTAATCGTCTGTCCTGCCCTATGTCTCCTCGGTCGGCTACTGTTGTTGTGGTGAATCGGAGATTGTCGATCTGTCCCTGCCCTAGGTTGCCGGCGAACTCGCGATTGACGGTGGTAAGCTCTTTGATCGGCGATTGGTCATGTGATTGGTGGTGTCGATTGCTGGCGGGTCTCGATTGGAGGTGGTTGGCCCCAAAATCTGACTTGGCCGTGGCTGGAGGGTTCCCTGCGGGCGGCTCTGCTTCTCCGATGGGGCCCTGAAGGAGCTTTTCGTTTCGGTCGCCGGCGGACTGTGGTGATGGTCGGTCGGAGGCTGTGGCGTCTCTCGTCGGAGTAGCCGGAGCTGTGGGACTGTGCCGCTCTCTTCCTCCCCCCGGTTCTCTGGTGTTGGGGTCGGGTGGGTTCCGGAGCAACCGAGTTTAGCTAGTGGTGTTAGATAAATTCGGGTTATGAAGGTGCGGGAGTTGGTGTTGCGTTCCCTCGATTGGGGGTGGATCATTCTGGGGCTAGGTTTGGGGCTCGAGTTCGACTGCTTGTATAGGCGTTTTCGCAGTTTTGGTAGTAGTGCCTGAGCTCGAGATTTTCCTTGGTTTGATTGATCTCTGTGGGCTGACTTCGTTGGCCGGTTGGGGAAGGGCTTGAATGTAGTAGTTTAGCTTTTTTATTTCCTGTGTTTTTTAGGATTGTGTTGTTGCGGTATTGTGTTTTGGTCTGGGTCGTTGGCCCCCGTGAGCCCGAGTGTCTACTTATTATCCTGTTGGGATCGGGTACTCGGGTATTACCCTGTTGGGGTCTTTTTTAGTTTCTTAGTGTTTTTGTTTATTAGTGTAGTTGTGTGTCCGTGAGTATTACCCCGTTGGGGGCGGCTCTAGGCAGTCCTTGGACCGTCTTCTCAGTTTATTCAGTTGTTGGTTGTCTGTATTCAGCTATTGGCTGTGTGTATTCAGCTGGTGGCTGTTCTTTTGCACATTTGTGCCCTTTTATATAAAATCTCTATCGTTCTGGCAAAAAAAAAAGAATATTTTTATCGTTCAATATTTTTTAAATGCACAAATATAAAGTTATATTCTGAATTGAGATTTTATAAATTTAGAGACCAAGATTTTAATGTTGTTCGTTGTTTCTAAAATGTTGTTCGTTGTTTCTAAGAAAAAAATAAAAATAAAAACATACACACTTAATAAATATTAGCCGGATTTTTTAAATAATAAAATGAACTAAAACTCGAAATTTAAGGTAGCATTTAATGCTGTATGATTTTTAAATAAAAAAATAAAAAATTATAAAACTTACTATTTATAGACTGCATTAAATTATGACCTATTTTTTGCTACTATTTTGGGTAAATAGTAATTCTTATTATATATATATATATATAGATAGATTGTACTATAATAGTGTCGTGCTTTACGAATGTTAATCAATAAAGTCATATGTATAAATATTTTGATAAAATAAATACATAAGTAAATTATTTTATATATAAATATTGATATAGCACTCAAAATAGCTCAGGGAACCGGCTCAGGCAGTTAGCTCGGGTGTAGTCGGTTCTAGGGAGCTCAGCCCGTTCTCAGTACACAACCTCGTTAAGGAGCTCGCTTGGGCACCTCAAAGTACAGGTTGGCACGGTCCGAGAGCTAAGAAGTCGGAAAACCTCAAGAGCTCGGATAATCGAGGGGACCTCATGACCCGTAGGTCGTAGAGGTGGAGGTCGTAGTTATGACCTAGACACATCTGAAGGCAGGTAAGTAGCGGAGTCGTTGTTACGGCCTCAGAATTTAAGAGCCGTGTGGTAGGAGGGGACAAAATTCTTTATGGATGGAAAGTGTTAAAGAGTCTTAAATCCTTAGACGTGGTAAGTTAGGAAAGTGGATAGAAGGGGATCTCTTTTCTAACTAGGACTATATTGGGCATCAAGACACCTATTATAAAAGGTAGCCATGTTCTTGTTTTATATATTTCTCATATACACATACTTGAGCATACACATTATCATTGTTCCTCACGAGCAAAGACTGACTTGAGCGTCGGAGGTTTTCCGCAGGGACCATCTTTAGCGTTTTGCAAGTTATTGGAGCAAAAAGTCGGCTTTCATTCGTGATGTTTCGTCTCAATTCGGTTTGAGGCGATTTGCATATTAAATTGGCGTTGTCTGTGGGAAAGCTCTAGTCTTTTACCGTGTATAAAAGACTATCGGCTTTTCTCACAATAAGTTCTCAAAATGTTTGAGGATCATGGCAAACAATAGTTCTAAGAAAAATTTGACTAAGGAGTTGGATGGCGCGTGGACATCGCGAGTATTTGGGATAGGCACCCCCCACCGGGTTGGTCGAGGTCGACTGACGCGCTGCAATAGCAGGATGATCCAGGGGTCAACTGACCCCAAGAACAAATAGAAAAATGGTTATGAATCCCAAGGTACAAAAGGTTCCTAGGGGAGACCAGATTATCCAACTTACAAGGGCATAGTTAGATAAAATTGTGGCTGAGGTTGTAGCTTGAGCTGGGGCACCTGGTTAGCCAAATCCCGTTGGACCATCACTGCAGCCTCAGAGAATACCAGAAGAGATGGAGGTGAGGTCGATGTCCTCGCCTGCTACCATATCACGGTCCATCTACGGGAGTTGTAGACCCGGGTTGAAAGCAGGGTAGCACCTCGGATCCATGGCCACGCATTTATGTAAGAGGTCCTGGAAGCAGATTTGTTTAATAATTTTCGCGAGTTGAATTTATCTTACGATGGTTCGACGGACCCAACTTGGCATCTGAGGTCGTTCGATAATATAGCGGTTCTCCATAGGTACAGTGATGCAGTTCATTGTAGGGCATTATTCACTACATTGAAGAGGTCGATGCAGGACTGGTTCTACCAGTTTACGGTCGAGTCGGTCTACAATTTTGAGAGATTCAACTTTCAGTTTATTAATCAATTCTCAGGTGCGAGGAAGCACGCGAAGACACACATGACACTTATTAGTACGCAATAGAGAGAGGAGAAGACTCTCTGCGAGTATGTAGCTCGTTGTACCGGGGAGTGTGTGGAGGTCCTCTTGACCGCGCGTCGCAACACGGCAAATTTAAATTTATAATGTTTTCCTCGACTAACCTCTACTAACTAGTAGTAATGGCGAGTAAGGGTCGATCGCACGAGCAGCATGAATTAAATTGTGACAATCTCGTATTAATTGAATTAAACTAGGAAAGCAATAAAAGATGGGGGGATTGGTTTGATAAAAATAACAAAGGAAATAAAAATCAAATAAAATAAGAGAAGTCCAGTTTTCATTTCAGTTATCCCCCAATCTCAATCTACCGATAATTAATTTCGACGCTTTCTCTAAATTGTCGACGAATTACTAACCCTAGCTAACAACAAGCTCTGTTAACCGAATTTTCCCTTACCGAATATTTAATCGAAATAGGCTCTTCGACTAAACCTAACTAGTGGACAACTTAGAATAAGCTCTCTAGATTTAATTCACTAGCAGCATTAATCTCTAGGAAAATAGATCAGTCTAAGCAATGGACGCAAAAGCTCGAACCATTTAACTTATGTTCACGCTATCCTAGAGATGCATGACCCCTAGTTTACTACTAACGAAACGAGACGTTAACAATTACGGATTAAAGTCCCGAATCTAGCAATTAAACTATGAACATTCAACGTAGTTGGCCAGACTAAATCAAACACCATAATTCATAAACATTATACACAGATAACATGAATCAACTCATCAACAAAAATAAATACGGCGTCTCGATTGACCAACGATAAATAAAGATTATCCAATTCATAGACAAATCGGAATTAGGGTTCAAACATCCCCTAAACTGGATAAAAATACTAGCATAACATACTAATAAAAATGAATAAAAAGATAAAAGATAAAAGAGAGAGAATAAAATTCTCCTTCGTGTGCGGGTGCGGCTTCCCTCGGCGTGTGTAGTCTCCTTCACATCCTTCACAGTCCGTGCGTGTATTCTTACTTTCTCCTATGCGGCCCTTTTTCTTCTCTGTATGCTCCGCTCTCGCAAAAAAATAATTCCTCTCTGTATGTGACTCACCTCCCAAAATAAATCACGCCCCTCAAAGTCTTATTTCTCAAGTCAAACTCTCTCCTCCATGACTTAATTTGCTTCCCTCGTGTATTAACCCATTCACCACATTAAATTGCTTCCACACAATTATTTCCAAACAAATTGGTTAATATTTGGGCCAAATCCTACTAACCACTAGCAGCCCACTTGCAACTCCAATATTGGGCTTTGTATAAGTCATCCTTGAGCTCATGAGTTTGGGCCGAAATAATGGGCTGGTATTGGACGCTCCAAAAATTGTTGGTGTAAAATCCCTTCCAAAGCTCTCGTTCACAAAATACTTCAATGAGCTGAAAATAAATATAAAAATATCAATGTGTATGAATCCATCCAAATAATAAATAAGTCGAAAAATATAAACGTGCGATTAAATTAATCGTATAAAAATACACTATTAAATATATAAAACGTGCACATTTTTCGACCTATCACCTCTCAACTTCTAATGAGATCAAGGCATGTGGTCTTACCAGAGGTCTCAGACCATGACCGTGTAGAAACTCATTAGTAAAGAGGCCGACGAGGTCTTTTGACGAGTTGCTAGCCAGGTGCAACAAGTACATTAATATGGAAGAGGCCGAGGCTAACTTTCTACATAACGACAATACCAAGGTCAAGCAAGCAGAGGACAAGTCTCAATCAAGTGAAAAGAGGTCTCGTAACAAGAAATCGAGGTCGTAGGATTGCGACAAGGTAGGGTACAAGTACGGGAAGTATGCAGCATTAGTTGTGCTCCAAAAGGAGGTCTTTGAGGTCACCCGATAAATCATATTTTTAGTATTATCACAATATTACATATTTTCACTATAATTTTACTTCGTGGTGCTAACATTCCGAAAATCATCAAAGAATTAGAGGAAGGAGGTTTTTAATAATGTATTACTTTTTCATGACGAACATTTTATAATTCCTTGATAAATGTTATACGTGTTATAACTTAAGTGTTATAAATAACAATGACATTATACGCCAGTAAAATTTTTAATAAAATAACATTTGAGTATCATGATGAACCAAAATATGTAAAACTATTATTTTTCTTTATCAAAAAATTAATATATATATTAAAATATTATTTATATTAATATAAACGGATCAACAACCTAATATATTATTAAGATAAATTTAAAAAAATTATTCTAAGGCTAATATTAATAATATGAATAACAATGAGGTTGACTTGAATTTGAAATGAGATTGGATTTTTTGGTTGGTGTTGGTTTTTTATAAACAAGTATATGCACTAAACGAACGAAGCGAGTCGTTTTATGAACTCGGCTTAACTCAGCTCGAAAACGACTTCTCCAAAAACAAAAACACTGGGCAAATCTCCCGATCTGGATGCAAGCAAGACACTTTTCCAAGAATCAATGGAAGAGAGAAACAAAATCGGGATTAAGATAAAGAAGCTGGGGTTCTGGAAATGGGCTATAGCTTCCGTCATATTCAGACTAATCATGAGCTATTCCTCGGAAAAACTCAACCTTTCTACCCGGCCGGAAGTCTCTACACCGGTCACCAGCCTGCGCCGCTGTAGTTCCTCTCTCCCTCTCTGTAACATATATATGTAATCATGTATGTATTTATCCATCTTTTGAAGTAATTATCAAGCTTAACCCTTTGTTTCTTCGATTTTGTCTGGTATGTGCCGTTGTAGTGGCGGAGGGTTACTGGCTGAAGCAGTTATCGATGTCGCCTTATTCGGGTTAGTCTATTTTCATTTGTAGTGCTTATATTTAACCAGTAACAGTTGGCTTCTGTTTATGGATTTTTGGCTTAATTCAATCGTAATGGCTGTGATAAGCAGGTTCAATGTACCATGGATCGCCGTTATTGCTCTCAGTGCTCGGACCACTAACTGTGAAGTAGCAGTTCTTCATATTATCTATTGAATTAACTTCTGAATAAGTTCATAGCTCTATTGGGTAGACTAAATTATGCAGCTATTGATGATTAATCTAATTGCATAATGCAGGATTGAGGGCCAATCTACTCACCTATTGTGCAGGTATTAGCCTTTTATCTCTGTGTAATATATATTGATCTTTATTGTGTTCACGGATCCGTGTTTTTGACGTTACTCTAATGCACATTGGTCTGTAATAGCATAAAACCATTTGTGTGTGATTATGAGTTTAAGCCAATAACTCTCTAGTTTTTATGGCAATGTGTTCAAAATGATTTTTGTTAGCAGTATGATGTGTGAAGTTCAAGTTAGATTCGGGTAAAGATTTTTAATTATATTTATCACTATTTGATTAGTATTCGTCTCCTGAACAGTAGCAAAAGGTTCAAGTATCTGTGTTAGTTTCTTACTCTCTTGGATGAATATTGTAAGAAACTTATACTATGGACATCTTAATTTTCGCGTGAATTCTTACCATGTATAAACAGAGTTTTTTGTGGCAAGGCACAACACTCGTCATGTTTTGCGATATCATCATACCGACATAGCCTTCTTGCCTTCTTGCGAACTGCAAGTCTCAGAATGTGATTTTCAATATGCGCTTATAAATGCACAAGCTCTGTCTTCTCAAAACCACAACTTTACTAAATAGTCTTTGGAGTTATAAAATCTAATTTACTTTTATAGAGCACGTAACTCCTTTGTTCGCTTCGGTATTATGTCCAACAAAGTATCAGTTTTCACATTAGACTCTAATGATTGAATAGTTCTCACCATGCCAACAACTGCAACTCTACTATAGTTGTCATGCATAGATATTACTAAATCAGTCTGTCAAGAAGTTTGAGGACAGTTATGTAACACCAATTAGTACATGGATATATCTTAAGTTTTTTTTCACCCCCCCAGAATTCTGTATGGAATAACAACAATTATTGCAATATTCACAGATTCCTGATTTTCTTATAGATGATCTACAAATTACATTGACGTCTTCTCTTTACTTTCTTTATTTAGTAGTCTATTCTTTCAATATCATTCAGTGTATACATTATCAGCTCATTTTGGATATAGTCTGGTTTCTGTGGTTGCAGATTTTTTGAGTGCAGTTCTCATCCGTGCTACTGGGCAGAGTCTTCTAACAGCACATAGTCACACTTTGAAATCATTAGGACTTGAAAAACTGACCAAGGACGTAGGTAATCCACATCGCTCTTTCTGTCTCGGAGCATTCATCTGTTGAATGCTTCATGTAAACTGATGAAGTTGCTTTTATTTGAAACTAGAGATTCTTCCCTCTGGCGATATTGCTGCTCTTGTGTATCTGTGGAATCCTTTCACAATAGTCTCATGCATTGGGTTTAATACATCGCCCATCGAAAATCTGTTTGTCATCTTATCTCTTTATGGAGCATCTTCAGGTACGAAGTCGACTTCCTTTCTCTCTTTCAGCAATATGCATGATCAACAATACTTACACTTAGGAGGAGTCATGATTCTTCTCTGCTGTTGGTTTAACTCTCTTGTCAAATGACTCAGCATTTTGTGTTGTATCTGATATTTTGTCATGATGCAACACTGGTAAGTCTGTTCGATGGCTGTCAATCAGACACTTCTGATCATGATATAGATTCTAATTATGTTCACTAAGTTAATATTTACAATATGCGCAGGGCTAATTCCGTTGGCAGCTTTTGGATGGGTCGTGGCATCACATTTGTCTCTTTATCCATTGGTTTTAGTTATCCCCGTATGTTTTCTCAATTCTTAGATTATTGGCAATTGGTTTAGCAGACTTATCAAAGACAGACAGGTAGAGGATCTTTATTTTGTTTTCAACTTTCTTTGTTGCAGTTAATCTTTTTATTAGGTTATGGTATGGATGCGCCCCCAAGAAAATTGTTTACACAAAGTGACCTACAAGCAGAAGAGAGTTCATCTGAACATGTGGACCTCAAGTCCCCGACTACTAAGCCCATAAAACCGTCATTTTCATGGCGACGTGTCATTCTTTTCATTTTATGGGCATCGATATGGATATGCTATGTGTTAATTCTGTGTGCTATCTCTATGAGAGAATATGGTGGTCTTGATGAGATGCTTAAGAGGTAAAGTTGTGTAGCAGAATGCCCCTTTGTTTTTCCAAGTTCACTCCAATTTTCAGGGGATTCAGAAGTTTTATCTGCCAGTTGTTTTTATGTTCTCTATTTCAATTAATGTTGGAGTTTCAGACTTTAATCGGTAAGAAGAATTATGAATCCTAGCACAAACATCCAATTGATGGCAGTGGAAGTTAATTGTTTTNNTCTCAATCTTATGTGAAGGTCTACGTCCTTACGTAATAGCAGGAAAGTCATGCATGATGCTTTCTATTGTCGTTGAATTTATTTGTTTCTTTTAATCAATGAAACCAAGTAGTTTTCAATATGGTACGTGTGACTTTTGAAACTCATTTCTTGCATTTAGATATTCACCTCGGTAGTTTTCTTGCATTTATTGCATTTTACGTGGGTATATTTTGTTTCTGGAAATTTCCCTGAAAACATAGTCCCCCTCACCCTCCTTTCATCTGTCTCCCTGGAGGATACACACATCAGATTCTTAATGAGTCTTTTAGTCTGGGTTATAGCATCAGTGTATGTAACTTTCAGTTCCAGGTTGTAGGATTACATCTGGAAAGCCCGACTCTAATACTTGTCTATTACTACAACTTGCGAGCATTAATCTGTTGCATCATTGCATTTTGTGCTCGACAAGTGCATGTCGGAAGGCCCTTTTTTTTAAAAAAAAAAAAAATGAATGAAAAAGCGTACTTACTAAATTTTTTAAATCCAAAATTTAAAATGGCTTGTCATGTTTGTAATTATTTTATGGTCAATTTATTGGTGAATGATGGAGAATTCTGAGGTATGCATAACTACTCTTCCTTCGTCCTTTTGATAAATTAGTTATTTTAATGTCATTCTGCAGGACACATGGGTTTATTCTTTCTGTTGAAGATTTATCTCCAAATATTGGTGTCTTATGGTAAGTGAAAAGCGAACTCGTTGTCTGTCTGTTAGACGTGCATTTGCGCTGCATATATGTTTGTTTCTTGTCAAACTTTCAATAATATATACGTGTCTTATTATTTCAGGTACTTCTTCGCGGAAGTGTTCGATTTTTTCAGGAATTTCTTCCTGATAGTTTTCCATGTCAACATCCTATTCATGATTTTGCCTTTAGCTATAAGGCTAAAACATAGGCCCTGCTTTTTGGTCTTCGTTTACATGGCTATCTCTTCAATGCTAAAATCATATCCTTCAGTAAGCTCTCTATCCATCTCTATATTTTTAAAATGCACATGTTTTGAAGCTTTATTGGACATTCAAATTTAATCTTTATTCATTATCAGGTTGGGGACTCAGCCTTATACCTCAGCTTGCTGGGACTGTTTGTGAATGAGTTAGCAGGTTTTTTTGTCCCCTTATCTGCACACACACCAGGTTGTTTTTTTGTTTTTCATCTTAACAATCAAGACTTGAACCTGATAAACTATTTGACATGCAGAAATGCAATTTTCATTCTTTCTCTTCTGTGGATATGTTGGAGTTTCGCTTTTGAGCCCAGTGATGCACAATTTATGGATTTGGAGGGTAAGTATCTGTCGGCTTAGATGGATAAGTACGACCCTGTTCCTGGGATTAATTGTCTTAATTATCATGCAAACTAAATTGCTATGCTGATTTTTAACTTGTTAATACTTTTTTGCAGGGGACTGGAAATGCAAACTTTTACTTTGCAACTGCAATGGCATATGCTTGTTTCCAGGTTNCCCTTTTTACTGATAATGAAACTTTTGTGATTGGAAAATCTACATCTGTGTTCTGAAGTTGCTAAATCCAGATCTCTTTCTATCCGTGTTCTGAAGAATATTTATTTAGTTATAATTCGTACATGTATCCCTAATTCATTCCTGCAGATTATTCTGGTGGTTGAGAGTGTGAGTACTATGCTCAATCATGATAGGAAGATAAAAAAAATCTTGAATGGTGCCAAAGATTGAAAATGCTGTTGCTTTAGAGAAAGGAATCTACAATGAGTTTGTACAGGGGCTCGTCCAGAAGATGTTTTCGAACTATCCTTCAAACCTCTTGTGCCGTAATTGCAAAACACTGCAAAACGTGGATGTTTTGGCCGCATTCTAAATGGATTTCAGCTAAAATTGTACCCTGCACGTAGAAGAGAAACTCGGCTATGTCATGCTAGTTTTTGTATTTTTTTTACTTTTATGTCTATCAACTGACAAATTACACTGTTTAGTCATTGATGAACGGTCAATGTCAGAGTCGATGGTTTTTACACGTTTCATATGTTTCCGGTTGATACAACTGATTTGACTCCATGGAGGAATTTTTGGAGGTGAGAAACTTGTAGCTATCAACCACTCGAAAATTTTCAATCTGCAACATTTACCGAGTTTTACATCGTTGTGTTGATTTTATCGTAAAAAACTCGATAATATATAGACCAATAAACATGGATTGGATTTATTTTACATAATATTAAACCAAACAAATATAATGAGCTAAAACATTTTTTTTTTTTTTTCCGCTAAATATAATGCAGATAAAAGCTTGCTTGGTGAAAGCCCAGTACAACCTCAGCACATTTCTGTAAATCTTTCTCTATATAACATTCTCTAATGCTATGCATTTACATCATCACAAAGGCATTGGAATGAATGAGTTCTAACAAGATATAAACAATAATCTCCACAAACAAAAATCATCAAACTCTCTCAGCCGAGAAAACCGGAGAACAAAGGGCACGATTTTTCCGAAAAAAAAAAATTCAGAATCAATTGTCGCAGCTCCATCTCGGTGTAGGCACGCAGCTCAAATAATGGCACCAACTGCATTTATCGTTCGCATTTTCTCCCTTGAACAGCATCACAAATCCCACCGTAAATCTACAAAATTCATAAAATGGATGGATTTCGATTGTAAATAAAAAAGAATTACAAAGCACTCGTAAAGGTATTGGAATTAACAATCATCCCATCCCACTCAATAAAACGGATGGGTTTCGATTGGACATCAAAAAGAACACGTTGAAGAAAATTCTAGCAATTTTGAGAAAGAGCTCTTTAGTCAAAACTAAAATAAAAAAATAAAAAAATCTTCTAATTTATACATCCAATCCGAAAAGGATCACTTAGAAATGACGTATAATTGAGTATATACGTTCTTGCTTGTTTAAAAATTTTTTCCAAAAAAAAATTCAATCTCAACTTAAATCTGACTTAACTTTAACTCAACCTCCATTATTATCAATATAATTAAATAATACTAATTAATCATTCTTATACATCACATCAATTTTAATTCACTATTCATCCACTCACATAAATTTTAACTATCCATCACTTTCAATCACTTTTCTCCTACTTTTACATCAAATCAACTTTAATCATTTTATTTTAAATATTATTTAAATAGAAATTCAAAATTTCACTCAAACCTAACTCAACCAACTTTTTCAAAATTAACCATGATTAACAAAAAAAAAAA